TTTTGAAGTCCTGTAGTACTCCCACGATCTTGTTTTGACTGATTAGACTCTGTTCCATTCTATATGATAGTATCAAGTTTGAAGACATAGGCAACTACTTTGAAGACAATAAGATTCACTAAGATACCCATTCTGGTTTGACTATTGTCTTCTTTGAAAGTCCTGTAATGTTTACAATGCCTAAGTTTTATTGGTCTTGTTCTCTACTGTTTTGTCCAACTTTATAATATCTAATAAGATAGACAATTCTTTTTAAGGAAACAAGGGACAACGTTGATAACCATTGTTGATAAACTTGTACTCTGTTCTACACCATGTGCTATGTCTATCCTTGGTATTGACTGACAGCTTTGTTTTGCCATATTTGACTGTATTCTCCCCCCCCCAAAAAGAAAGTAATAAGCACTAAGGAGTAATAAAATCCAAGATGTGTAAATTTTGTTGTAAAAAAGAGAGGGAGAAAAAAAAAGAAAAAGAGCTCTAACGGATATAACAGCAAGTGTGTTTGGGGGTGTTAAATAGCTGACTTTATCAATGTTTTTGGAACATTGAACACAGCTGTTTGCAGTCTCCCTGTTTGAATGTCCACCTTGTGTTCTTTGATACTGTGATTTGAGGAACTATTTTCAAGAAGATAGTGTGTAATCTACTAGCAGGTGATTTCTTACTGTTATGTTTTTTTGTTTTGTTTTGTTTTGTTTTGTTTTGTTTTGTTTTGTAGTTCTGTATTGCGTGTACCCTTACGCCGCTTTGGTTTGTTTTGTGTTTTTCTCTTTTTCCTCTTAAATTAAAAAAAAATAAAAATAAAAAAAATAAAAGTCTTTCAAAGGCATAGAAGTTGTCTGTGCAGCCTTCAGAGCCTACCAGAGTCTCTCAGCAGCAGTTCAATCAGCTGAATATACCAAATCCATAGCTCATTATCTTCCATAGCAAACATAGAACTGAGAAGTCAGTGGTGTTTTAAACATGTCTGAACACACGGTGCCTTAGTGAAACTAGATACACTGTATAATTACATGTAGAAACTGACTTCATATTTTACTATCTTACTGCCTAATAAATCTCACACAAAAGTGTCGAGATGGTACTCAAATAACTAAGTACTTCATCTATTTGGTAATAGGTTAGCATCTGAATAAAATGGGAAGCTGTGACTCTGAGCTAAGTGGTATTCTTCAGATCACCCTTCACAGCAAGACATGGCTGGAGATGCACCATGAATCGAACCAGATGTGATCTTGGATAATTGAATGCTCTTAGAAATTTAATTCCAAGAATAGTTCCAGCGTAAGCTGAATCTACCTATAAGCAGTGCACTGCAGAACATTTATAAAAGAAGATGCTACATACATAGAAATATCTTTGTTGTTAGGTAATTAGAAAGTTAATTCAATTTAGAAAATAATTACAACTTAAATTTGAATACTGTCCTAAAACTCAGAATGCTTATTCTCAAATGGTTCACATTGGACTGTGTTTTGGAAAGCACTGTGGACATTTTCTAAATTGAAATGGGGTTTCAAAAGGTACAGTTTGGGCTTTGAAGACAGGCCAGGGCAATGGCTCTGAAAAGGAGGGTTGTAGATAAAGCACCTCACCTAGTGTAGTTTCTTAACTAGTTTCTTGTTCACAGATCAGTATAAAGATAGGGATTTGAAGATAATATATTCAGTTCTGTAAATTCAACCCAGAGCCTTTGCACTGAACTATATCTCCAACCATTAACTATTTTGTTTTTAGTTTTGAGAAAACATTTTTGCTAATTCACTATGTTGCTCAGGCTGGGCTCAAACTTGCGATCCTTCTGCCTCAGCTTCCCAGACTGCTGAGATTATAGGTGAATACCACCATGCCTGAGTCACTATTAGCATCAAATTACAAAAATGACTAGTAATCACATGGGTTATTCCTATACAGGTTCCTAATGGTAATCTAAAGAGATCATAAAATAAAATTGGGGGATTAAATTTGTTTCCAATGTTAGAAATGAAGCTTAATTCATTTTTTCTAAAAGCAGACCCACAAATTAGTGTACTGATACAACAAAATAATTACTGCTGTTTTTAAAAAGAAAATATCACTTCCTCATAATGAGGGTGGTTGATGGAATTTATCGCAAGCATATGCATATTTTTCAGGCAAGCTTGTAGGTACACATGCTTACGTAAGTGGTAGCAGTAGAGCAGAAGGAATTAAGTTTCTCTACCGAACAAATAAGAAGGCTGAACAGAAAGTAAAGAGCTGGCATGTTAGCACTGAGCTAATACATAGGTGGTCTGGAGTTGTAAAAGTAGACCAAACTAGGTAAACTCAATAAGCAAGACAAAGGGGAGAAAGAGACAGGCTGAGAAAATTTGTTATCTTTATTGTTTGCTTGTTTATTTTGTTTTGTTTTGTTTGGTACTGGGAATTGAACTCAGGACCTCTAGCTTGCCATGCAGGTGTTTGTGCCACTGAGGTGTATCTGTAGACCATGGCTGAGGAATCTGAATGCTAAATTTTGCTCTTTGTTTGTCTTTCTAGTCATGGGTTTCAGCATTTTGGAAAAGTAAAGAATGATGTGTGGCGAATGAAGGAAGAAGGGCTATGCCTGTACTTGGGGCAAGGTTGGACAAGATGAGAAGAAGCTGCAGCACATGCAAGATTAGGAGAGAAGGGATCAAATGTTAGACTGGGAGGAGAAACATGAAGCAAACAATTGCTAGCTACCATCAGGAACATGTAAGCTTGACCCCTAGGCATTTTTATGAATGAAATATTGTGATTAGAAAGGTGATGTTACTTGAGATGAAAGCTCCAGTCATTTGTATTATTTTTTAAGAGTTAAGTATAAATCAGTATAACTGTAGGAAATGGGAACATTCCAGCTAGATAGTAAATTGATGGCAAAAATAAATATACTTAGCAATTCTATTTCTTTTTGCAAGTAGAGTATCTTCTTTAATTACAAAATAAACTCTATTGATAAAGGTGGTTTTTAAAATTAACTTATATTTAGTTAATTTATGTAATACTTCTGATAAATACAAGTAAAAAATACTTGAGACTATTTTAGACTTAGGGGATAGAAGAAGAAAATTCAAAATAAAATAAGTAAATCTATTTTCTTCTTTTAAAAAGAAATGGATATGGCATCCCTTGTATGAGAGTGGTAAACTTCTCCTAAGAAATAAAAACTACATAAAGGAAAGAGGTCATCTGAGTCACAGTTTAATGATCTAACAATTGTTATTTGTTGCATTATGTTTAGGAACAATATCTATTAAGAGTGTTTTCCCCTTTAGGATAACAGTCTCATGTGCTATACAGTTGGAAAATGGTGAATCAAATATTTCCAACATATAAAATATACTGATTGAATATTTTGAGCCAAAACATTTTTCAAAGAAAGCTGACTAATTTTTGAGTTTTTAACTCTCTTTCGATTTTTCCCTGTGGCTGCACATCTATTTAGTACATAAGAACCCATATATGCATAGATATAATATAATGGAGGTGTGCTTGTCCACCATGAGAACCTGAATTGACTCAGAAACCAAATTCACATAGGTAGACAGTGCTTTGGCTTTCTTGCCCCATATATCATCAGATGGTTTCACTGGTTCTATTTTGCTTTCTACATTTCTTGATGCCTAAAACCGTGGATTATATTAACTTTTCAGAGTATAGTCATCATAATACAATATCCAGAAGCGCACTTATTCAATTCTCAGTTGCATGTGAAATACTTATAACACTTTTTAAACCTTAGGCTGGCTTTTCTTTATTAGTAGATACATATTCATAGAATGGTGCCTCTGGCCTGAAAATATTTAACTTCTGAAAATATTTTAAATAGGACAGTGGATGTGCTGTTGATATGAAACATATTCTGAAATCAAAGTCTTGGATGAGTTTCTGTGTAAAATTCTTCTTTTCATTTACTGATGCATATCATCAGAACAGGCTTTCCACAACGTTGTAAGTTCCTTTTCATTTCCTAAATGCAGTGCATAGTACTTTTGCCAACTGTCCTAAATTAGACAAAGGTTAGCAGGAAGAATTCGTTTTACATAATAACTTCCAAATGGGAAGCCAGACTTATCCCACATAAAGGAATACTTTTAAGTAGAGGTAAAAATAGCTTATCAAGATGTTCGCTTGGGGAGAAGGTTGTGTACAGGAGCTCTCTAATGCCAAATTCTCCCATAAATTCCAATCCAGTATTATACACAACAATCACATTTTTCATTTTTAAAACTATTGCTTATAATTGAAAACAAAAGGATTTTTTATATGATTTGGAGTAAGCATTCTGCAATATGCTTAGGAAGAGAGGGATCACTGTACATTTAGAATGAACCCATTTAGCAGGAAGATAATCAATAAAAGCTGCTGAATGGAAAAAGTAGTATAATTAATGAATGACCTCCACAAAAAAAGAACAAATTACTTCTATATCTCTGAAAGCAACACAGTGTGATCAAATGCTTTCTTTAGAAAATAAAACAATAATATAACACAAGGCAATTAGAGCATTTTTCACAGGTATTTGAGAAAAGGTGCAATTAACAATGTAGCTAATGGCATTAGAAATGCAAACTAATCAAATATGAAGGTAACTCAATAATTAAATCTTTATTATTTATTAAAAGACATTGCAGATGGAAAAGAGACACTTAAGTGGCAAAAAGTATATAAATATAAACATTTATCCTTTGTCTCATTTAAAAAATTTTATCACTTAAAATCTGTTACATAAAATAATGCATATACAGAAAACAGATTTTTCCTTAACAAAAAGGAACTAATAGAACTCCTAATAAAAATAATAGAACTCCTGAAAGAGTAATCATGAGTGACTGTCCTAACATTGAAAAATTAATTGACTATGATCAGAGGCCAAGGCAAGAATTTTATAACAAAGACCATACATATTTCTGACTTTCTCTAAATATATGAATCTATGCATACATGTACAATTGCTATTTTAAGATTCAAACTGATTGAAAATAACTCACCTGACACAAGAATAATGAGAATCTTAGCATTGGTAGCTAAGAGACTATGGAAGAATTTCAGGGTAGCTGGGATATCATCTACATAGTACAGCATCTAGATAGGAGGCAAAAGAAAAATGAGACACTTCTCTGTTCTGGAGTCTTTGTTGCTTGAACTAATACTAAAAGGTTTGAATTTCAAGCTGAGTAAAGTCTTATCCAAACCAAAATAGAAAAAAAAATGATACTTAAAGATTAAAGATATTTTTGGAAAGATAAAACAGTAACGTAAAAATAAAACATTAATATAAGAAAATATTTGAGGAAAGAGAAAACTATGAGATTTACACAACTATAGTCAAATTTTCTTTCTATTCTATAACCCAGACATTAATAGCTGCAGACACTTACAATCCATTACACATGAGAACATGATCTTATGTCTATTCTATGTTTTGTGAATTATAGTCCTTCTGGGAAAAGCACAGCACAAAAACAGACCCCATTTCATTGAACATTGCTTTAAAATTAAGTCCTTTGCACTAGCTTCTCCATATTCTCACAGATCCTATTTTTGTTTTTGTTTTTTCACAGAAAATGTGGCAGGTTTTGATGTTGACAGATTCTCTAGGATACTGGACTATGCCAAGCATAAGGTTATATACTTGGTCATAGAGTACTAAGAGCCAGACCAACAAATTTGAACAATTCTGGACCAATTCTTGGTGAAGTACAGGCCTTTCTACTCAACACATGGCACTTAATGTTACACACTGGGAGTAGTAAACTGTCCTTAGTGGTGTGCATCCTTTACTTACTAGAGAATCTATCTCTATGAGCACTTCTTATATCTCATCTTTATTCTTTTGGGTGATAAGTCAATATTCCATGTGCATGTTCACAACAGAATTTATTGCACAAAGGGAAAATAACTAAAGCTGTGACACTTCACATGAATGAATGAAGTAACATAAATCTGAACATGGTCCAATATGTCTCAGTGGCTATGTTTAGTATCAGTTCACTCCATGTCTCCCATCATAGGAACCTAAGATAGGTCCCTGAATATAGCCAACGCATAAGATGACCAACAACCTATGACATGACTTGGATAAAAAACAGAGGCAGTGGATCATAGTAGATCCCTTGTTTTTATATAAGACACTTAGATATTTGTATTGGCAGGGAATACTAAGTTGAAAAGCTGTCATGAGGGTGTAATGGTAAGCAAAAATGAGGAGGCAGGGCTCAGAAAGATATATAGTAGCTAAGGTGGGAGAACGAGGAATAGAACAGTGAGGCTGAAGGAAGAAACAGTTGATATAAGAAAGAACAAACATGGAAATCTTAGAAGAAATAGGACATAGAATCTGATTCCTGGAGCTATGATATTTCATAATGAGGAGAAGAATGTGACTCAGGACTTAGAGGAAAAACCATAGGTTACTGTAATAATATGGAAGAAAGAGATGATGACTATAAGTGTATCTACATTTGCATATTTGCAAAGTGAAAGGTAAGTTTTCATCTGATGACTTTTATTTTCTTTGTGGCGTAAAGTGAGGTCATGTGTGGGAATCAGTGGTTGGAACATTGCAGGAGATATAAAGAAATAGAGGAGTTAAGAACTAACTTGAGGAGATGGGAAAGCAAGTCTAAAAATGAAATAGTCTAGAAATGCCAGACAAGGTTAAGTATTCCTTGAGGGATGAAAGATTTTGTTAGCTAAGGAAGCATAGATATGTGTCAACCTTGGACTCCTTTCTTCCTTTGGTTTCTTACAAACTCACTTCTTTGGACTAACTATGGTGGTGGACTACAGAAGAAAAAGTACTTTATTGTTAATCAAGTGCCAAATCTAAAACGTGTACATCTTTCAACAGTAGCCAAATTCTGAACTCTCATCCTATATAGAAATACTAGTGACACCTACAGATCCAACTTCATGGCATCTACTAATCACTAGTTAGTCTGCTGATAGTAGATCATAGAAATAAAACGTTACTGAATTCCTATCCTTAAAACCTTACTGGTCTCAGGAATCACAGAACCTATGCCCTTTCTGCTATGTACATACTAGCCAGGCTATCTATGGAAGGCAAAAAGCAAGAAGTTTCAGAAAAACTCTGGTACACTGGACCTGAAACCATTCGAGCCATTCAAACTTGTTAAAAAAGGGTTAGGACATGTCACTGTATTGTCATCAAATCTATACATAAACTTTCCATTGTACAAAACTAGTTAAGACAACATTGACAAAAAAATGATGCTTACAAACGAAGACAATGAGCTTTTTAGATATTCATGAACATTGTAGCGATATCAACACCTTGATTTGGACAGATAATGTTCACTTTAAAACTAGAACTTAGAAGATTTTTATCTTTAAGAATATTAAAGTATCACACATGCATCATACATATATATGAAAAAAATCTCTTTTCTGATAGTATTTTACAATAAATATTTCTTACCTGAATCATATGAATAAAGTCCCACTTTTGAATCTCCTTTTGCTCCATCACTCTGTTTTGATATTCAGATGATGTCTCCTTATGCCAAGCAAACTTTATGTTCTCAAGATTTGATGTCTTGGCTACAAGCTCTAAAATTCAGAGAAGAGGTGGCACACCATCAATTTTAATTGCAAATGTGGAGCCCATTTCCATTTAGAATTTTAATGCAATCAATGTTATATACATAACAGATATAAAACACATTTTTCTTTTTTATGTAGCTCTGAGAAACCAGAGAACTCATCCTGATTTTTTTCCACTATTAAATGAAATTAGAGGTGAAAGAAAGAGTCAATCATAAGTAATGAGGACTTAGTCAGACAAAGGTTACATTATCTTAGTATAAATGGTGAATCAATTGGTGAATTTTATTGATGGAAAGTTGATGTGAAACAGGTGACATGCTTGTGTTGCCCAGAAGCAGACAAATCACAGGCAGGGGCTCCACCTGGCCCAACACCTATTTTCCTGTGAACTATAAGCTAAAACCAGTCAGTACTCTGCTCCCTAACTCTCTCTCTGTCATTGACGTCTCATGCTAATTATTTTGTTTTTGTTTTTGTTTTTAAGTTGGTACCAGGGATCGAACTCACGACCACACGCCATGCTAATTATTTTGCAAAAGAATTAGGAAAAAGCAAAAATATAAACTCATAATTTGCCAAATTGATATGAAATGCAAATATTGGTATTTACGAATAAAGTTTTATTAGAAAACGTGCACACTCAGTTTACATATTGGTTATGGCTGTCGCTGCGCCATCGTGTCAGAGTTGATTAGTTATAACTTTGTGAACTTGTGAATCTAAAACTTTACCATCTAACCTTTTTCAGGAAAAGTTTAACGTCTCCTCCCATAATCCATCAAACATAAGCTCTTTTAGGGCAGAGACTCCTAAATATTTCGGAGTCAATGAATCAATGAATCAATGACTCTGTCTCAAAGAATCAATTCAAAGACAATAGCTAATAATGACAGAGGAAGGGATAGAGAGTCAATGAAAGAATCTAATTATTCACTGTTTATATCTGAAGTGTTCAATCATGTCAACAAATAATTAGGTTCTTCTACCAGAAAGCTTAAAAAGAGCATAACCTGGTAACTGTACTATTAATCATAAAAAGCAAAAATATGATATGATAAGCCTTTGGGGATAAGATTTTGCATACAGCTTGGTGGGTTACAGGTACCTTTGTACTTGGTGATTTGTTCAGCACTTGGTTCAACAACTTCATTGATGATATGAACTCCTGGGTATTGAGCCTTGACTTTGGAGAGAATATGAAGATCCATTTCACCTAGAAAACAAGTATGTGGAATAGGTTACATCATTCCAGGAAGAAGCAATTAAGAACAGTTTGAAATGATTTATTTTCTGCCTTACCTTTACAAGAAAAACTAGCATGGAGAATAAAGGTTAACTATTGTACTGTCACAGTGCCTGTGATGCAGAAAAGTTAGGTTTTAAATAGCAACAATGTGTTTTGAGGAGGGGTATGGATACCACCCATCCATCCATTCACATGAACTTTAATAGCTAATACTGCATTTCACTGAATCAAAGATATCACTGACTGTAGGAAAAAAAATCCTTATTTTTGTTTCACTAAGTAAAATAGCTGTCAAATATAATTTAAAGATTTTACCAATTGGAAGATATAATTTAAGTTAGAGATATTAAAATATGAAAAATAATGTGTGTCTCTTTGAAATGAATGAGTAAGTCTAGGCTGGGAGAATTTTTAAAATGTTATTTTAAAAAAGTCACAAACATATGTTAGGCAAAGTCAGGATACAAAAATATGCCAGACATCTGCCTTCAAAAACTCCACAGTCTAGGGGAAAGGATGGACATAGCAACAATCGTGGATGTGCAGAGATGGATGAGGGGAGGGAGATACTGAAGGAGAGGACAAGAGAAGAAGCAGAGCTTTAGAAAAGCTTGGCCTCTCTCTCCAGGTGAGGTGGAGTTGGCTTTGAGACTTTAGGGACTTGAAAGACTTCAGGTAGGAGGGACAGTATGATAGAAACAAAAAGTCAGGAAAAATAAGAGTATATATGGAACTACTAGAGGTTCCAAGTCATTGGAATATTCACTAAGGCAAGACCTCCAAGAAAGAGGAGACTGCAGGCATAAACAATATGGGGTGAATGAGTATTCACTCATTCATTCATTCACTCATTCATTCATTCATCTATTAGTTAACTGCTTACCATGCGTAGTCACTGCAGTAAGCTATTTAGTAAATAATGGTAAGGACAGGTGGATCCCTTACCTGTTAGAAATTCAATCTCTAAGTGATAGCATAGAAGACAGTGGAAAGTCAGAAGGACTCAAATTCCATATCTGTCCTTTCCATATATTTAGTCAGTTTGATTTTCTTTCCTAAACTTCATTTTTATTGCCAGAAAGTTAAAAGAATAATAATAGCTAATTCATTAGTTATGAAGGTTAAATGAGGTAATACATATTAATTTCAGTGCAAAACACAGTTGTGACTGAATAAATGTTAGCTGCTAATTATCTTTATGGTTATCACAGAGTTCCTCTCTTTAAAGTATTCAAAAAAGAAAGTATCCTGTTCTCCCTACCACTGATGTCTCCAAATTAAGTTTTACATTTTATTTGATTGGGTTATGATATTGACCTGCATTAAAACAGAAACATTTGTTGGCAAGATTAGCATATGAAAATTTTGTTATTCTTTAATGTTTTGGCATAAATGCCATTAACAGAAACTTTCCAAGGTTAGACATGGAAGACAGCAAAAGCACAGGTTATAAAACCAGGAGGGTTAGGAGGAAGAAAATGAGAAAGGTAAACCAGAAACAGAAGATGCTAGGCCAGGAAGAGAGGGAAGTCAATGACAGCCCCTTATCTTGAGCATCGCTTCCTGGATCCAGAATGACAGCCCCAACTACTGCTGAGAGGACCTGAACTCTGGAGTCTGCATGGATGGAAAGGAGGAAAAATGGGAAGGAAACTGATGTGGGGGATTTTTAGTCAGGATTTATAAGGGAAAAGATTTAATACAGGTCAAATAACTTATAGGATTATTTCATAAGATTAACTGCCACATTATAGTTATTAGATATTATAGTTATTATAATATTTTAATAATATAGTTCATGATATTAATACCCAATGAGTTCAGTGCAGAAGAGTACAGGAGATCTGTCCACACTCTAGAGACATCAGTGCACCTAGAATCTAGCTGAGGGCTGGATCTCATGTAATGTCCTCCATGAGTCAAGCTGAAGACTTACAGCCCCTGGCATATCCTCCATTTGTGCAACTGGAGGCCTAGAGCTAACAACAATGTCTCATGGAAATCTGTATCAAGGATCTGCACTGGATAGGCCCAAAGGCTAGCGATGGCAACCAGAAAGTCTGCACCATCAGGATGAAGGATTTGTGCCAGCAGGCTGAGGTATCTGCACTGGATCCAGGAAGCAATGCTCAAGATAAGGACCAGAGTTCTCCCAAAAAGAACCGCAGCAATCCTCAGGGGCAGCAAGGACCCAGGTTCCTCCAAGGACTAGAAAAGATGAGTTCATATCAGGAAACAGCAAGCTTCTCCAGGAGAATCAACAGAGCGCAATCTCCTCCAGGTCTACTTTTTATGCTATTGGCAAAAATTTTCAGGTGGGCCTTCCATACTCAGCATCATGCTGATTGAGTTCAGCTAGGTGTTACAAGTTGATCATTAGTTAATCTACTACAGAGGATAAAGAATTTAATTTTTTCGAAGCCGGACGTACTATATAAAATCTTTCATCCTTTCCATAACAATGAGAGCTATCATTTACTGGCCACTGTCTATTTGCCAAACACTTGCTAGGCAATTTCCATGGAATATCTTACTTAATCCTGACAGCCAGCTCTATGATATTATTTCCAACTAGACAAGATTATTTGAATTTGCTGACACTCCAGGGATATTAATGTGACTAATGTTTAAGGCACTTCTGTCTAAATCTAAACTGTTTGTTTTTCAAACTACTGTCAAGGATTAGAAAGATACCAAAATACTAACATGACTTAAAGACTATTTATTCTTCTCTATAACAACTATTTCTGAAAGAAAAAGGGAAAGAGCTGATAAGGAAAGCTATGGGCTTAGAAATAGAGGGATCCCAGCCTTTCCCAAAGGACTACAAACACTAAATAATGAACGTTCTAGTCTTGCTTCTATCAGTCTAGCCACGATCTTCAATTAAAAGATCATTGATTGTGTATCTCTCAAACTCAGAATTTTGAAAGACATAACTGATATGCTTTTCCCCCTGTGAGGTTTGATAAAGTCTGCTTCTAAGATGGGCTCAGACATTTCAGATCTGTGTAAATAGTAGATCACAACCAGCATGGCCCCAAGTGTGTTCAGAAACAGGCATCCCTGCTCCTGGCTCACAGGTAGAAGACACAAGCCAGAACTGCACCTGAGATTTGGAAGCCCTGAGTTTAGACAGCCACATATAGAATGCAAGCCCATGTGTGCTGGGTCTCTAGCATAATCTGTGAATAACAAGAATCTGTGAATACTGAGTCTGTTGTCAGGAGGCTGACAACAGGCTATATTTTTTACTTCATAAATTTTTTGACAATATTTTTGAATTTATAAATCAGGGGACAATGCTTCCTGTTTGCCAAGAACAGTCCATTGTCCTATGTCCCATCTGATTTTATTTTGTCATAATATTTTCATTTTTAACAATATAGTATTATCATAATTTTATGTCTGAAAATAGGTTTAAAAGAACTATCCCTTAAATAGATCAGTACAATAAAACAAGAAAATTGATACATAAATACTTTATAATTTTAATTATTCTACATATTGCCCTACCTCTCACTATCAAAAGTACCCTATGTTGAGGAATCAATTATACCACTGAGCACTCTGGGTCTGGTAAAAGCCCACTTCTCCTAACAGATAGCACTATCTCATCATTTTCATATGGCAGAAGAGGCTAACTAGTTTCCTTGTGCTCTTTCATAAGGTCACTAATTCCATTCCTGAGGAGAGGGGCCTCATAATTTGATCTCATCCTAAAGGTCTCATCTCTTAATGCATTTGCATCAGGATCAATATCAGTTTTGGAGAAGCGTGAACATGTAAACAGTAGCAAACATGAAGAAGGAGCCTGAATGTAACTATGGCCTTTGAGTGGTTACTATATGTCAATGTAGATTGATTAATTTTAATAAAATGCCTGCTCCCTTGGTCTTATCTCTCACAATTTCATATTTTGAAAATCTGGTTCCAGAAACTTTCAGTCACTTCCACCTTTCTTGCCTCTCCCTATGCACCATATTCTTCAATATCTACTGGCTCCCTCACATATTTACCTTATCTGGCTAATTCCTATGCATCTTAAATCTACCACAAGTAGCTAATTATTCTGATAGGCTTTCCCACAGGGTCTGGTAGTAACCTCAGAATCCTTCAGATAATAGCTACTCAACAATTGCTGATGTCAACAGCACAGATAAAACCTACTTGTCTTCCCAAATCTGAATTTTGGTTTCCTTCATGTATTTGACTTCTTAGTAAAGGCTTGACTCCAATAAATTTGTTAAGAAGGATCAAAATGCTAGATTGAACACATGATGTGATTTGATTAACAATAACTAAAAGTCTTATGAGGGATTACCAGACCTTAGAGTACCTGATAGCAGTAAAAGAAATCCACAAAAAGAGAAAGAGATCATTTATTTGTACTCTTTCAACTAAATTCCTCTGAACAAGAGGCATACTATACAAATATGTTTCTGTATCAGGCAGTGAGCATCTTACAAATGCTTTAGAGGATGCACAAGACAAATTAATGTGTCAAAAGGATAGAAAAAATAAACTACATTTGAACTATGACATAATTCTGAAGTTCTCAGCATATTCAGGAATAAATGGAAGATATATAGAAGCCAGAAGTCTGCTCTAAGAGCAATAAGGTGATATATGTTCAATTTATGTTCTCTTTCGTATGTAAACTTCCATTACACATTACTTGATTATAATTTTGAACAATTGTAGACTACTTATTTTTTACAACCTAAGTCTCAAGGTATATATACACCAACAATTGTACATTACTAAACCTTAAACGTGACATTAGATATTTGCCCTAAAGCACCCGCAAATTTTTCTGTAACAATTGCATAAGTAGTGATAAGTAATAGCTGTATTCCAATATATCATCCTCTTTTTTCTCTTCTCCTTTTATGTGAATAGCAAAGCAAATTAATGATTTTGGAATCTGAGTGTGTTATATGATATAACACTTGATTTCCTCAGGT